CGGTTGCAGAGAGAACAGTCTATGACTGGGGGGCTGGAGTCTTTGGTCGTTGAGGGAGAGGTTGTTATCCTGGCACCACACGTCCAGGTCTCTGACCTCCTCCCTATAGGCTGTCTCATCGTTGTCAGTGATCAGGCCTACCACTGTTGTGTCGTCAGCAAACGTAATGATGGTGTTAGAGTCGTGCCTGGCCATGCAGTCAAGGGTGAACAGGGAGTACAGGACAGGACTGAGCATGCACCCCTGAGGGGCCCCCATGTTGAGGATCAGCATGGCAGATGTGTTGTTACCTACCCTTACCACCTGGTGGCGGCCCGTCAGGAAGTCCAGGATCCAATTGGAGAGGGAGGTGTTTAATCCCAGGGTCCTTAGCTTAGTGATGAGCTTTGAGGGCACTATGGTGTTGAACGCTGAGCTGTAGTCAATGAATATCATTCTCACGTAGGTGTTCCTTTTGTCCAGGTGGGAAAGGTCAGTGTGGAGTGCAATAGAGATTGCATCTTCTGTGGATCTGTTGGGGCAATGCAAATTGTAGTGGGTCTAGGGTTTGTGGGATAATGGTGTTGATGTGAGCCATGACCAGCCTTTCAAAGCACTTCATGGCTACAGATGTGAGTGCTACGGGTCGGTAGTAATTTAAGCAGGTTACCGTAGTGTTCTTGGTCACAGGGACTATGGTGGTCTGCTTGAAACATGTTGGTATTACAGACTCAGTCAGGGATATGTTGAAAATGTCAGTGAAGACACTTGCTAGTTGGTCAGCGCATGCTCAGAGTACACGTCCTGGTAATCCATCTGGCCCTGCGGCCTTGTGAATGTTGACCTGTTTAAAGGTCTTACTCACACAAGCTACGGAGAGCGTGATGACACAGTCATCCGGAACAGCTGATGCTCTCACGCATCCTTCAGCATTGCTTGCCTCGAAGCGAGCATATAAGTTATTTAGCTCGTCTGGTAGGCGTGTCACTGGGTAGCTCGCGGCTGTGCTTCCCTTTGTAGTCTGTAATAGTTTGCAAGCCCTGCGACATCCGACGAGCGTCGGAGCCGGTGTAGTACGATACAATCTTAGTCCTGTATATGGATGTATATGGAGGGTGCGGGGCAACAGAAGATGAACAGCAGTGAGGATTAGGATTTTAGAGATGGTGAAAGGGCTGATAAAGTGGAGAGAGAGTTTACCCGGACTCCACCCGGAGGGGCAGATCCCAAGTGGTGGTCCGCCTGTCGCCGATACCTGGAGGTGGTCTTAAGAAGAGCGGACCGGGCTCTCTTCCAGGTACACCAAAAGCGGTGGGTACATGAGGAGACTAAATAAGCAGAAACTGCAATGACTCTCTGTGGTTACCTGACACTCGCAGGTTGATGGGAACCATACTGTGAGTGACCCTGCCAATAGAGCGTCTGTCCAATGCTCTGGCGTCCATGGGAATGGAAAGGGGTTGTGTGGAGATGCCCAGCTCCGGCACCAGAGTAGCGTCCATAAAGCTCCCGTTGGCCCCAGAGTCCATGAGCACCCGGAGAGATTTAGACCGGTCACCCCACAGCAGGATAGCATGGAGAGGAGTGCGAGTAATGGGAGATGGGAGTACCATAATACAGACAACTTTTGGAGCTCAGTCTGCGTAAACTTTCCTCAGGAGACAATCTAGCCCTGCCCAGTTGCATGGGCTCCGGAGGAGGCGAGTCGACAGTCCGGGGGAACTCGGGTGACATCGGATTCTCTCGGGAATGCAGGCGTCGGGGCCTTCCGGGATTCTTTGGAGGCGAGGGGGAAGCCATGGACAAGCGTGTGTGGTCGGGAACAGACCTCCTCTCCCTGCTGTGTTCCCGTAAACGCCCATTTAACTTTATGGTCAGGGCTATGAGGGAGTACAGGTCCATGGGCAGCTCCCGGGCTGCGAGCTCATCTTTAATTCCCTCTGATAATACGTGAAGGAAGCTGTCGAACAGGGACTTTGGGTTCCAGGCACTCTCGGCGGCCAACGTGCAAAAATCTACCACGTAGTCTGCCACACTACGGAGTCTTGACACAGCCGAAGTAGCTACAGAGCCGCCTCTCTCCCGGACACCGGAGAATCGAACACCTTCTTCACCTCTGCCATGAAATCCTCCAGACTAAGGCAAACGGTGGGTTGTTGCTCCCACACCGCCATTGCCCAGGTGAGCGCCCTCCCGGACATCAGCATTATAAGATACGCTATCTTCAAACGATCCGAAAGAAACAAAGAGGGCTGTAGCTAGAAGATGAGGGAGCACTGGGAGAGAAACACCCGGCACGTTCCAGGATCCCCAGCGTAGCATTCTGGAGGAGGTAAGCGGGGTTCTCGGGAAGCCGGGGTAGGCTGGGGAGATGCACCGCTGGTAGCGGGGTTACTGGGAGTCTGGAAGGTTACCGTGGTGGCTTTCTTCCTGGTAGATAGTCCGCGGAATTGTTCCAACAATGCATTTTAGGCATGGTCATGGCATTCCAACAAGGTATGGAGTCCATCCACAAGGTTATGCAGTAACTCCTCGTGTCTTCCAATGGTGGCTCCTTGGAGGGAGACAGTGTTGCGGAGCAGGTCCGAGTCTGCTGGGTCAGTCATGGCCAGTTCGTACAATCACTACTCAGGATATGACCCAGATTCAGACACAGGAGGTGGATAGTTAGGTTCTCAGAATATTTATTATAAACAAAGGGGCAGTTAAAGGGCAGGTCGAGGGCAGGCAGAGGTTCGTAATTCAAGGCAGAGTCAATAAGGGACAGAACGGCAGGCAGGCTCAGGGTCAGGACAGGCAGAAAGGTCGGAACTGGGAAGACTAGAAAACAAGACCTAGAGAACTGGAGAAACACGCTGGTAAGACCTGACAAAACAAGACGAACTGGCAACAGACAAACCAAAAACACAGGTATAAATACACAGGGGATAATGTGGAAAAATAGGAGACACCTGGTGGGGGGTGGAGACAAGCACAAGACAGGTGAAACAGATCAGGGTGTGACACCGGTACAGGAAATGGGGGTGATACAAGCTATATATCTGCATAATTTTCTAAACGTGGTTTGTCATTTTGGCATATTCACTAACACTGGTATGGCAAAGCACACTTTTTATTTCAGCCATAAGGATGACACTTCGTTGTCATTGTAATGATGCATGTATTAAGATACCGAAATATGAGATCTTGCATAGCATGACATGAATGCACTATAGATATGCTATGGATATATTTCATTAACCTTGTGGTTGGGATCTGTTGTAATACGTTCCTTGAATGCTTATCGATGTGTAATAAATGTGTTATGGATATGTAGTCAAAGTATATTGTTACCCAGTATTTGTATTATTTATTTTAATACAGTTTTTTTTTTGCTCATCTTTATTGGATGTGACTGTACCTGTTTGTGTGTGACCCATTTCCGCATGTCTGTTTTGACATATATATATATATGTCTTGACTAGTTTGGGTAACATACGGTAACATATGACTACATTACAGTACATAAGTAATGTAAGTAAGCGTTTGTGAAAGGTTATCATTGCTGTCATGTTTACATCATGGTGTGCAATGAAGTGTAGCCAACATCTGTATTTGGCTCCGGGGTGAAGTTTCCCCTAGGTACAGATCTAGAATCGGCATCCCCTCCCCCAATCCTTACCCTAACCATAATGGTTAAAATTAAAAACTGATCCCAGATTAGCTTTTAGGGGCAGCATAGGTGCAACTTTGCTTGTGAACCAACCAAGTCCAGTTTACATGGGTTAATTAACTACTCCATGTAACTGACATTGTGAATTACAATATGTATATACTCTTGAGCACAGCTGTCTGTGTGTGTGCGTGTGTGTGTGTGTGTGCATGCATGTGTGCGATTACATTTGCTTGTGTGTGGTGTGTGTGCCTAAGCATTACCTGGGAATGTAATGTCTACATGTGTGTGAATGTCATCCAGTTGATCTGTGGTTTCTATACAATCATGTGAAGACTCTAGGTTAACTCTAATACCCTGCCCATTAAACAAACTCCTTTATTCAGTGGCCCGCTGCCGGCTATTTTTATCACTTTTAATAATCTTTATTGACTCAGAGTAATTGCCAAGATGGAAGTAATTAGAGAAGGAGCCGATAAAGTGTGTGTGAGTTGGGAGGGGGGGGTTGGTGGGTGCGGGGGTTTGTGTGTGTGTATATTGTACATAATGAGTGTTTGTGTGTTCATATGTGTGTGTATTGAACAAATGTGTATGTGTGTGTGTGTGAGTATGTTTTCCCCTTCCCTGTTAATGGGCCTGAGCAAGTCACATGTGCCCAGGTGGCGAGAACGCCACACAGACGAGCACTTTGTAAGCGCCTCGCTGAAGTATAATGCACAACATACGGTCTCTATCCGTTTGAGCATGGCGGGCTAACCATATGGCGGTGAGGACGGTGAAGTCTTCCGTCCTCACCAACCCCAGCTGCCGAGCTAGTTAGCATGCTTGGCGAAGCGTGGAGTTACAAGATTTTTCTCTCTCCTCTCCTGCTTATATTAGTTGCTATGTCTGTTGTCGACTGTGTGTAGGGTTTGCCAATGGAGTTTTGTATTCAGAACAGGGCCGATTTGGTTGGTTCTGTAATTAAATCGGACGATCAGTGTGTTTAGGATGGTTCTCTCTGCTTTTTTCTAATTTTTTTCTCAGCTTTTTGTCTTTTTACTTTGTTTTTTATCTTGTTAATATTCATATCTTCTTCTCCATCTCCCTCCTTCTTACCTCATCACTTTTCCTCTACTCTTTCATTTTCTTCTTTCTCCATCTTCCCATCCTCTCTCTTATGTTCTCTCCCTCCTCCTCCACCACTCTCTATCCTCCTCCTTACTTTTTTCTCTCTTATACTCTCCCCGTCCTTCTCTCAACCACCCTCTTCCTTATCTATCTCCCCCTTTCTACTTCCTCCTTCCTTACCCCTCATCACTGACTCCGTCCCCCTCCTTACCCCCTTCATCCCTCCTTTTCCTCCTCCCTCTCCCCTCCCTCCCCTCAGGCATGGGCAACCTCACCTTCCAGATCACCCCCGACTCCAACAAGGACAGTGAGAGCATCCAGATGGGCCGCGATCTCAAGCTCTCGTGTCACGTGGACGCACAGCCCCAGGACAAGGTCAATGGAATAACAATATTAGTAATCATAATATTAGTAGGGTATGACCCCTTTATAAAAATCTCATAATGATGCAGAATCAATTAAAGGAGTTGAGACGGAAGAACATTTTATGTAAAGAGATACAAAAGCCTTGCTATAAGACATTATAAATGTTCATACATGCTTAATACAAGTCACAACATATTCTGTCAATTATATAGGCTATAGAAATATATTAACATAATGAACTAACATATTGCTATATTATATTATTAGGTCAACTACACGTGGTACAAGAACGCTGCGCTTGTCTACAACTCGGACAGCTTGATCGTGCTGCGCAGCGACCCGGACATGGCACCGGGCACCAGTAGCCTGGAGATCGTGGACATGAAGTTCCGTGACCAGGCCACCTACAGCTGTGTGGCCAACTTTCCCGGGAGCACAGTGCCCGAGCTGAGGGTAGACGTCAACATTACCCAGAGCAGCGGTGAGTGGACTTTTTCTTTATTCTTTGTACCATCTACAAACAGCACATGGGCTAAGGTTAGGGCTAGGGTACCTCATGATTTGACTGGATTTAAATGGAAAGCTTGTTTAGCCTCACGGCGTGAAAATGCTGCTTAAAGAAGTGGATAAAAATCTAAGAATATAATCAAAACCATTCTCAGATTTGAGGCTCATTAAAGCAGTCAGTCAGCGCTAAAGAAAACACCCCTCCCCTTCCTCTCCTGTTGGTTCGCTCCGAGACTGTCCACATGGGACATTGGGGGTTGTTTGAAGAAACAACGTGGGCTAGCCAGCTACCGCAGTCTATTCCAAATCCCCATCCCCCATTTTATTTCCCCAACATCCCTGCGTTCTCCGTCAAGGTCCATTCCACCATTTCAGAAGCTTTTAAAGTGCATACGGAAAGTATTCAGACCACTTCACATTATTTATTTTTTAACCAATCTACACACAATTCCCCATAATGACGAAGCGAAAACAGGTTTTTACACATTTTTGCAAATGTATTAAATATAAAAACAGAAATACCTTATTTACATAAGTATTCAGACTCTTTGCTATGAGACTCAAAATTGTGCTCAGGTGCATCCTGTTTCCATTGATCATCCTTGAGATGTTTCTAGAACTTGATTGGAGTCCACCTGTGGTAAATTCAATTGATTGGACATGATTTGGAAAAAACTCTTCCTAGTGCTGGTCTCCCAGCCAAACTGATTAATTGGGGGAGAACGGCCTTGGTCAGGGAGGTGACCAAGAACCCGATGGTCACGCTGACAGAGCTCCAGTTCCTCTGTGGAGATGACAGAAAGTTCCAGAAGGACAACCATCTCTGCAGCACTTCACCAATCAGGCCTTTATGGTAGAGTGGCCAGACGGAAGCCATTCCTCAGTAAAAGGCACATGACAGCCCGCTTGGAGTTTGCCAAAAGGCTCCTAAAGGACTCTCAGACCATGAGAAACAAGATTCTCTGGAATGATGAAACCAAGATTGAACTATTTGGCCTGAATGCCAAGCATCACGTCTGGAGGAAACGTGGCACAGCTCATCACATGGCCAATACCATCCCTATGGTGAAGCATGGTGGTGGCAGCATCATGCTGTGGGGATGTTTTTCAGCGGCAGGGACTGTATGCACTTTGCGCAAATGCCTGGGGACGAGGTTACCATTTTTTCACACTCTCTCTCTCTCTCTCTCTCTCTCTCTCTCTCCTGTTGTTGCTCCTAGTCCTACTGAGAGTGTTGATAGATGGAGGAAATTAGGATGTGTGTTTAACCTTGACCACTGGTGCTCCGCCAGTTCGCCTCGGCAGGCCAGTATACTGCATTTCACTTTTTACATTTTCCAGGGCGTGCGATAACCACTAGTGTCCAATAAAAACTCCCTCACTAATTTCAACTTTTAACCTCACTTGTTTCCCCCTGCTCCCCACCTCCCGCCCTACTCCTCGCTCTTTTCTTCTCTTTTTTTCTTTCTATAAACCCTGGTTGTCTTTTGGGCAACCCCTCCTTAAATATGTTCTCTTCTCCCCCTTAACCCTCCTATCTTCCCCCTCGCTCCCATCCAACTCCCTTCTCCCCCCTACAGTCACTCCCCCGATTTTGACGGTGCCGGCAGGGGGCCAGGTGGTGAGCGTGAGGGAGGGAGGCTCTGCCGACCTGGTGTGCCTGGTGGATGGCAAGCCCCGTCCGCCTGTGCTCTGGTCGCGCGCCGACAAGGACCTGCCTATGCCCACGGGTGAGTGGGTGGTGGAGACACGCAACGGGCGCCTCCGGCTGACCAACGTCACCCGCGACCTGATGGGCTCCTACCGCTGCCAAACGGCGCCCTACAACGGCCTCAACATCAAGCCACGCCAGGCGCAGGTGCAGCTCAACGTGCAATGTGAGTAGTAAAGTACTACATTTCCCATGAGGCATCTGTTTATTGAGCTCTGAATAGTATTTTCCAAGAGAAGTGTTTCTTCTGTTCTGGTCCTGGGACCTACATGGTGTGCAGGCTTTTGGTCCAGCCCAGTAGTAACAGACCTGATGAATGAATCGAGTAATCAAGTACGTTTTTGATTAGATGAATCAGCTGTGGTAGTGTTACGGAGATAATTCTGAACCATGCTCACGTGATGATTAACTTTGACTGAGACCTGAAGACTTGCTTTAGTTCACCCAGCTAATGCCTACATTGTAGCTCAACAGTCTTGTGGTGCTCAGGAGACCTGAGCTTGAACCCTGGTCAGTCAAATGAGCACTTAGCTGGTTCAAAACAGCCATCTGTCTGTTGAGCTAAAGCCACCTTTCAGGGTGCGGTTTAGTTAGACTTTTGTCTTCGATCATCATTCTCAAGAGTCTTCATTTTTCTCACCAGCAGTTTCTAAATGACTCTAAATTGCCTTTCAAAAAACAATTGAAAGTTCAACTTCAACAACATTAGCAGTCATTACAACTCAACCATCAATTTATTCAAATCAATAGCTAGCACCATTAGATTAGCATGGACTGCAGTCACTGTCTCAATTCAATTTAAAACTCACACTGGACCAGAGTAGGCTAACGATAAGCCCCAAATGGGGTAAAATGCACTCGTACTAACAAACAAAACAAGGTCGTTAATTAACAAATGGTATAATGCCACTCAGAAACTAACACTACTAAGTGTGCAAACGCTGTTTATTGTTTGCTCAAGCCATTAGTGACGACGCTAGCTAGGCTATTAGCGAACTCTCCCCTTCGTTACATTTAGACTTCTTGTTTGTGCACAGTAAAAGTGCTTATGCCTGCCACACTTCAATAATGCTTATATTATGAAGGGGGCTAGTTCATAAAGTTCAAAACCCTGAAAGCCTCAGAATTCATCAGGATCTTGAGTTCCAAAGGGTTTCTCTTCTCTTGAGTTGTCTTCTCTTCTCTTGACACCATCACACAAAGGCAAGCCAGAGAACCTATTCATGAACTGTAGCCTACAGTATGTGAAGTTGCTAGACGCTCGTGAAAATCTAGCTCCTGACTTTCCAGTTTCAAAATAGTGCCGCTGAAGGTTGTTTAGCCATTATTTTGTCTTCAATGCGGGCTGTGCCATGAGAGCTAATGTTGGAAAGAACTCTCGAACTCTCACTGTCCTACAAAGCTCTTCTTTAGAATGTGTTTGTGTGTAAACTGTGAAGGAAGGTGATCCACTTTGGTGGAAGGTGCGAACAATACACTCATGGCTAATAGAGAAACATAGAGGCTCAAAGAAAAGCCCTGAAGCCCACATTGCTTTGTATAATATCCCTTTACATCCATTCTTTAGAAATTGTTTCTTTACAGCTTTCGTTCCAATGCCTGTATTTCCCATGAAATGGGAATGCAACATTAACAATGTGAGATGTATGGTCCCCCGAATGTTCACCCCAACACACAAACTCCCATGTATCCTGTAAAAAATGCAACTAATTTTTGATAGAGGATTGTCCATCCGTCAATGTAAGAGCCCCGTAGAAAAACCATTGGCTTAATCCGTGAACATTGTAGTTTCCTTTAATTCACCTGGAGTGAGTACTCTATTGGGAAGCTTACTAGCCTTGAAGCCAAAGCATCACAAAACAAAGCTAAGTCCAAGCCCCTGCCCCCTGGGCACTTATGTAGATCTGAGAGGATTGGCCTCTGATTAGCTGGATGGAATTATTGTTGCGGACACTTATCCAATCCTCTCAGATCTCCACAAGTGCCTTGTGGGTAGGGACTAGGAGTTGGTTTGGGATTCAAGGTAAGGGATATGTCCACACTAGCTTGCTTAGCGAATGAAACTACACTCTTAGAAAAAAAGTTGCTAAGTAGAACCATAAAGAGTTCTTCGATTTGTCCCCATAGGTGAACCCTTTTTGGTGCTAAAACCCTCTATGCACGGTTCTTCATAGAACCCCCTGTAAATGGTTTTACCTAGAACCCTCTATGAACGTTTCTACCAAGAACCATTTTATCCTTTAAAGGTTCTTCCTAGAACCCTCTATGAACAGTTCCACCAGCCTTATTAGCCTTTAAAATTAAACTCTTTATGACAATTTTTATTTATTTTTATTTATTTACAATACATTACAAATATCATAAGGCCTTTCTTCGAAGGGCTAGTTATACCCTAACACAGTGGTGTTAGGAAATTCCGGGTTTACATTATGTTGGCTTGCAAAGTGATGTGAAATTCCTATTGGAATCCAGACAGAGTGAGGATATTCAACAATTTGAATTTTTAATCACCTGAAACCTGCATTCAGAATGACTGCCAGGGTAAAGAAGGTTGACTAATGGGATTACCTAAATCGTCTGAACTAGAACAACTTTCTCAGTAATGGGTGCAATAAATCCAACAGATTGGATTAGTTTAGAAAAATGTATGTTATTTATCTTTGTGTAGCATAAGATTAATCAACCAATCAAAACACAGATATTGAAATAAAGAATTCTGAAAAGCTACCTGCAATAGAGAATGCTGGAAAATATGATAATGATGGGTGTGGTTTTGAGTATTTTACTGAACACAGCAACACAGAGTACAAATGACACAATCACACTCAACTCTGGTTATTAACAACAACACTAGGGTTCTTTTACAATGCCAAGTGTTAAGTTAATTCAACTCCACTTTAACAATAAAAATGTTACACAAAAAAATCTACACTAGGTAGAACTGGCCAATTTGCTGTGTAATATACAGTACTGTCACACCCTGGTTCTGGGACTCATTATGTTGAGCCAGGGTGTGTGCAGTCTATGTGTTCATGTTCTATGTTGGGTGTCTAGGTTGTTTATTTCTATGTTTGGTCTATGACTCCCAATCGGAGGTAACGAGTGTCAGCTGTCGGCTCGTTGTCTCTGATTGGGAGCCATATTGATACTGTGTGTTTTCACCTTGGGGTTGTGGGTTTTTGTTCCTTGACGGTCATTGTAATCGTGGACTTCACTATCGTCATTTGTTGTTTTCGTGGTTGCTTTAATTTAATAAAGTCATCATGTTCGCTCAACACGCTGCATATTGGTCTCCTTCGCTCCTAGACGATCGTGACAGAAAAACCCACCAATCTAGGACCAAGCGGCGTGTCAAGCGGCAACAGGACCAACCTACACAGGATTCATGGACATGGGAGGAGATACTGGATGGAAAGGGTCCTTGGGCACAACCGGGAGAATATCGCTGCCCTCGTGAAGAGCTGAAGGCAGCTAAAGCCGAGAGGAGGCAATATGAGGAGGCAGCACGGAGGCAAGGCTGGAAGCCCGTGAGCACTAGCCAAAAATTTCTTGGGGGGGGGCCTTAAAGGGAGTGTGGCGAAGTCAGGTAGGAGACCTGCGCCTACTCCCTGTACTTACCGTGGAGAGCGAGAGTACGGGCAGACACCGTGTTACGCAGTAGAGCGCATGGTGTCTCCTGTACGCGTGCATAGCCCGGTTCGGTACATTCCAACTCCACGTATCGGCCGGGCTAGATTGAGCGTTGAGCCGGATGTCATGAAGCCGGCCCAACGCATCAGGCCACCAGTGCGTCTCCTCGGGCCGGCTTACATGGCACCAGCCTTACGCATGGTGTCCCCGGTTCGCCTACATAGCCCGGTGCGGGTTATTCCTCCTTCCCGTACTGGTCGGGCGACGGGGAGCATACAACCAGGTAAGGTTGGGCAGGCTCATTGCTCAAGGGAGCCAGTAAGCCTGCACGGTCCGGTATTTCCGGCGCCACCTCCCCGCTCCAGCCCAGTACCACCAGTGCCTACACCACGCACCAAGCCTCCTGTGTGTCCCCAGAGTCCTGTGCGTCCTGTTGCTGCTCCCCGCACTAGCCCTGAGATGCGTGTCCTCAGCCCGGGACCACCAGTTCCGGCACCACGCACCAGGCCTATAGTGCGTCTCGGCCGGCCAGAGTCTGCCGTCTGCCCAACGGCGCCTGAACTGCCCGTCTGCCCAACGGCGCTTGAACTGCCCGTCTGCCCAACGGTGCCTGAACTGCCCGTCTGCCCAACGCCGTCTGAACTGTCCGTCGGCCAAGCGCTGCATGAACTGCCCGTCTGTACTGAGCCTGCTAAGCCGCCCGTCTGCCATGAGCCTTCAGAGCCGTCCGCCAGACCGGAGCCGCTAAAGCCTTCCGCCAGACAGGAGCCGCTAGAGCCTTCCGCCAGACAGGATCAGCCAGAGCCTTCCGCCAGACAGGATCAGCCAGAGCCTTCCGCCAGACAGGATCAGCCAGAGCCTTCCGCCAGACAGGATCAGCCAGAGCCTTCCGCCAGACAGGATCAGCCAGAGCCTTCCGCCAGACAGGATCAGCCAGAGCCTTCCGCCAGACAGGATCAGCCAGAGCCTTCCGCCAGACAGGATCAGCCAGAGCCTTCCACCAGCCATGAGCAGCCAGATCCGTCAGCCAGCCATGAGCAGCCAGATCCGTCAGCCAGCCATGAGCAGCCAGATCCTTCAGCCAGCCATGAGCAGCCAGATCCGTCAGCCAGCCATGAGCAGCCAGATCCGTCAGCCAGCCATGAGCCGTCCAGCCAGGATCCGCCAGAGCCGTCCAGCCAGGATCCGCCAGAGCCGTCCAGCCAGGATCCGCCAGAGCCGTCCAGCCAGGATCCGCTAGAGCCGTCCAGCCAGGATCCGCCAGCCAGCCAGGATCCGCCAGAGCCAGCCAGCCAGGATCCGCCATTCAGTCCGGTGCTGCCCCTTAGTCCGGTGCTGCCCCTTATCCTGGTGCTGCTCCTTATCCTGGTGCTGCTCCTTATCCTGGTGCTGCCCCTTAGTCCGGTGCTGGCCCTTAATCTAGTGGGGTTAAGGTGGAGGGTGGTCATTTGGAGGAGGCTACGTAAGCGGGTAGTGACTATGGTGGGGTGGTGGTCTAGGCCGGAGCCAGAACCGCCACCGAGGAGGTATGCCCGCCCAGCCCTCCCCTGTTTGGGGGTTTTGAGGCGCGGTCGCAGTCCGCGCCTTTAGGGGGGGGTACTGTCACACCCTGGTTCTGGGACTCATTATGTTGAGCCAGGGTGTGTGCAGTCTATGTGTTCATGTTCTATGTTGGGTGTCTAGGTTGTTTATTTCTATGTTTGGTCTATGACTCCCAATCGGAGGTAACGAGTGTCAGCTGTCGGCTCGTTATCTCTGATTGGGAGCCATATTGATACTGTGTGTTTTCACCTTGGGGTTGTGGGTTTTTGTTCCTTGACGGTCATTGTAATCGTGGACTTCACTATCGTCATTTGTTGTTTTCGTGGTTGCTTTAATTTAATAAAGTCATCATGTTCGCTCAACACGCTGCATATTGGTCTCCTTCGCTCCTAGACGATCGTGACAAGTACAATACATTTTTTTACATTTTTAGTCATTTAGCAGACGCTTTTATCAAGAGCGACTTACAGTTAAGTGAGTGCATACATTTTTTTTTTTTTTTTTCATACTGGCCCCCCTTGGGAATCGAACCCACAACCCTGGCGTTGCAAACGCCGTGCTCTACCAACTGAGCTACATCCCTGCCGGCCATACAATACACTGCTGGTTCACTCATACTCCCTTCTATTCTCCTACTCTCTACTCTCTGCTCAATAAAATCACAGAAAATACTAATTTGAAAGACAGAAGTCATGGCAAAGATATCAATTATGTTAATACTGTATATGTAAAATGATTAAGGGAATACCAGATACATGCACAAATATTCCCATGTACTAAGAATATTCTCACACGTATCTTTTTAAATTGATCAGATTACTCAAACTCCTGATCTTAAAGTTGAAACACTGATACTCAGGCACTATTTAAAAGAAATAACAAATATTACAACAAAAAAGCCTTCTAGCCTTCCAAACAATCATCAAAGAACCCTTTCTTCTAAAAACGGTTCTTAGGATGAAAACGGTTCTTGGTAGAACCCCATCCCTCCGCAAAGAACCCTTTTGGAACCGCTTTTTCTAAAAGTGTAGCTTAGCCCCGAACAAATGATAGCTTAATTAAAGGCCACTATGACCGTGGTGCTGACATTCCAAATCCTCCCAACCCCCATCCACAGTCTGTCCACATGCTCAAAAAGATACTACTAGATTTACAAGGCTTGCTAATGCAGGCGGGCGGAAGGGCGACACTTTTAGAGGCTCGTCTAGTCCAGTCCACTTCAATGATTTATTTGCCAGGTGGCCACCCCACTCTAGAGAGACAGCGCGAGAGAGAGCGAGAGAGATAGAGATAGAGAGAGAGAAACTAAGTGTGGCAGATGGATGGAGGAAGAGAGAAAGACAAACTGGGAGAAAGAGAGAGAGAGTGACAAACCGAGAGAGGAAGGGAGTTAGTGACAAGCAAGAGAGGGAAGATGAGAGAGAGACAGAGCAAGAGAAAGAGTAGGGAGAGAATGCCAAACTGAGAAAGAGAGTAACAAGAGAATAAGGGAGGAAGAGAGAAACAAACAGAGAGAAAGAGACGGAGGGAGAAAATAGAAAAGGAGTGAGAAGGGAGAGAATGACAAACAGAGAGAGGAAGAGAAAGAGAGAGGTAGACGTTGCAGGTCGCCAGCAGCGCTTTGGAAACCAACGCTTCCCCCTTCCTTCCATCCCTCCATCCCTGGGTTTCTTCACTGTACCCAAACCAAAAACAGATTTAATGCGTCGCTCAGTTATGTATAGAGCCATGTCATTATGGAATGCTCTGCCACCAGAGGTTACTCAGGCAAAAAGCAAGTTTAACTTTAAAAATCAGATAAAAACATCTAGTATCACAGCGCCTGTATTGCATATCAGAATATGAATATGTACAGTATATACAATTTATGAATAGTGTCTAATTAGTATTTTTGTTGTCTCTTGGTGTCTTTCCAATATATAACTCTTATTTTATGATTTTTATTTTATTTTATTTGTCATATCTTATGTTGTTTTGTCTATACTTTGTCATGTATTTATATATGTTTTATGTGGAACGCAGGAAGAGTAGCTGATGCATGTGCAGTAGCTAATGGGGATCCTAATGAACTAAAATAAACCCTCCTTCCCTCCTGCGTTGTATATATTTGTTTATTTTATCTGGTTTGTTTTTCAACCCTTCATTTAGCACCATTGATCGATATGCGGGAAGATCCTATAATTTTTTTTACTTCGCCTCTAAGTGGACACCCCTCTTTATCTCTTCCTCCCTCGTTCTCTCCTTTTCTCCTCTTCCTCATTTTATTCTCCCTTGCCCTCCCTTTCTTTCTCACTCCTCTCACCGCGACATGGATGTTCTTCTTCGTTACTAATCTCGTCATCATCAATCAGACGGCATCTCACCGCATCTCTCTTTCACTATCCTTCTCCCTCTCTCTTTGACTTTCTCTCCCTCTTTCCTATTCCCTCGCCACCTCTCTCTCTTCTGTGTCCCTTTTGCTCTTCCTCCCTCCCTCGCTCCATCTCATCTCCTCAATCATCTGCAGTCTTTCTCTCTTTCCCTCTTACACCACACATGCTCTCCATCATCCATCTTTCTCCATCACTCCACCCCACCTTTTCTTCCTTACACTCAATGCAGATCAATCTCCCTGGAGTGTACCATACTGTAAATGTCATGTCTTCATGCATTACTACAAGAGGGTCATGTACAGACTTGACTAACTGTGTGTATGTGTGTGTGTGTTTGTGTGTGTGTGTGTGTGTGTGTGAGAGAGAGAGAGAGTCTGCCTGCATGCATATCTGTCTGTCTGTCTCTGTCTTTCCATCTGTATCTGTCTGTGTGCGTGTGTATGTGTTTGTGTGTGTTTGTGAGTTAGAGCGAGGTTTACGGCAGATATTCGTTGTCTCCAATAAAACGGACGATAATTCTGTTTACGGGGATTATGGCATCGTGAAATTGAAACATTCTAGCGTAGCTCGAGCCGCTAAGGAAAACAGATACAGGAGACAGTAAGGGCTGGTGCTGATTCATTTCGTCAGTGGTCCCATCCGTGCACCACATTTCTAGGATGAAGACACCAACTTCTGACTGACAAGATGTGAAGCCGCCACGACATCACTTTATCAACAAGCCTCACCTCATGTCTCTCTGCCCCCTGTTCTGTCGCCTGTCCTCCTCTCTCTCTCTTTCTGTCTCCACAGTTCCCCCCCCCCCCCCTCTCTCTCTCTCTCTCTCTCTCTCTCTCTCTCTCTCTCTCTCCTCTCTCTCTCTCTCTCTCTCTCTCTCTCTCTCTCTCCTCTCTCCTCTCTCCTCTCTCCTCTCTTCTCTCTCTCTCTCTCTCTCTCTCTCTCTCTCCTCTCTTTCTCTCTCACGGCCCCATCTATCTTTTCCTCTCTCTTCTCATTTATATTGTATATATTTTTTTCCTCTCCCTTTCTCTCGCTCATGGTCTCTCTCTAGGGGCTTCCACTGTACCCAATGCTCTCTCAATTCCTCTCAATCTTCCTTTCTTTTTACCCCTCTCTCTCTCTCTCTCCCGAGGTTACTCCTGTGTCCGCCCTCTCTCCCTCACTCACCCTCTTTCTAATTCCTACTCTCTATTTCTCTCTCTCTTTGGGTGTCCTCCTCTGACCCTTCCCCCCCCCCCCCCTCTCTCTCTCTCTCAATTCAATTCAATTCAATTTAATTCAATTCAATTTGCATTATTGCCATGATGTAACAATGTACATATTGCCAATGCTTACTTTGGAGATTTACAATATTAACATAATCAAAATAATAATTATCAATATTGTCAATGGGACAACAGTAACAACAATAATCAAGGGTCAAAATAACCATTCATTGAACAATAACAATAACAATGGCATAGAGGACTTGCAGGTTGGTTGGTCTGTCAGACACTTATAGCAGGCAGCAATGTGGTGTGCTGCCAACCCAGAGCTCTCTGCGCCCTCCCCCAACAGGACGGGTAGCCTATTCTCCTTATTTTATTTTTATTTTTTATTTTTTAGTCATTTAGCAGACGCTCTTATCCAGAGCGACTTACAGGAGCAATTAGGGTTAAGTGCCTTGCTCAAGGGCACATCGACAGATTTTTCACCTAGTCGGCTCGGGGATCAGAGAGGTCTTTGAAACCTTGAATAAGAGTTTCAAATTTGGGGAAATGACACTCTAATTGTTTTATATTTTGTACATTTTGTCAGGAAATGCAGCTCTGTCTCTGGTTCTGCTGTGGTGCAGTGGTTGCACAGCCTTTCCTGTACAGGGAGCCAGGATTTCCTGAGTCTACCTTTCTCAATGGCAAAGCTGTGCTCACTGTGCCTGTACTTTGTCAAGGTTCTTCTAAGGTTTTGAATAGTAACCATGGTCAAATAGTTTGCCATGGTGTACTGTCGATTTAGGGGCAGATAGCACTGCATTCTGCTTGTGCTTGTGTTTCCTAATAAGTCATGTCGTTTTGTTTTGACTGTGTTGTAATTTGGTTTATTCTGATTGATTGGCTGTTCTGGTCCTTCAGTGTGTTAGTAGAAGAGGTTTGTGAACTCAGCCCCAGGACCAGCTGGATGAGGGGACTATTTTCTTTGCTCAGCTCTTGGCATTGCAGGGCTTGGTAATGATATGAGAGGGGGTCACTGTATTTGAGATGTTTCCAAAACGGAATTTATTATTAGACGATATGAGCCTAATTCTGCATTGTGTGTAGTTTTCCTCTGGACATGGAGGAGAATCTTACAGAACTCTGCATGCAGGGGTTCAATGGGGTGTTTGTCACATTGGGTGAAATCTTGTTTAGCAAGTGGACCCAACATCTCGCTGCCATAAAGTGCAATTGGTTCAATGACACATTGAATTAGTTTTTTAATGGCGTAGAATGCCCTGCGTGCTTTCTGTCTCGGGTTCATTCACTGCCTCATTTAGGTGTCCAGTTGAGCTTATTTTTAAACCTAAGTAATTGTAGTTTGTGCAGTACTCTAAATATGTTGTATCAATTGAGAACGTTGGTCTAATTCCCTGAGATCTGGATCTTCTCTGGAAAACTATAGTATTTGTATTCATGGGGTTTACTGCCAGGGCCCAGGTCTGGCAGTGCTGTTCTAGTAGGTCCAGGCTCTGCTGTAGGCCATGTGCTGTGGGTGACATCAGGCACAGGTCATCTGCGAACAGCAGGCATTTAACCTCTGAATTGTGGTGACTAACACCAGGGTCTGAGGATTTTTCTAGAATAGTGGCCAATTCGTTATGTAAATATTGAAGAGTGCAGGGCTCATATTGCAACCCTGGCAAAGGCCCCGCCTCTGGTTAAAGAATTATGTTATTTTCTTGCCAATTTTGATGCTGCACGTACTGCCAGCAGCATTGATTTAATTATGTCAAATGTTTTACACCTTACACCACTTTCAATAACTTTGTAGAACAGTCCTGTATGCCGAATAGAATCAAACGCTTTTTGGAAGTCGATAAAGCAAGCGCACATTTTGGTATTATTTTGGTGGACATGTTTATCTATCAGGGTGTGTAGGGTGTAAATATGATCGGTCATGCAATGTTTTGATATAAATCCAATTTGGCTTTTACTCAAGACATTGTGCTCATTAGGGAAGTTTAGAACTCTTACATTTATAATACTACAGAAAACCTTCCCCAGGTTACTATTCACACAAATGCCTCTGTAATTGAACGGGTCAAATTTGTCTCCGTTCTTAAAGATTGGGGTTATGAGTCCTTGAATCCAGATGTCAGGGAAATAACCTACACTCAGGATCAAATTAAACAGTTTTAATTTAGCCAATTTCAATTTTGCACTAGTGAATTTGAGCATGTCATTTAGGATGCATTCAGGTCTGCATGCTTTTTTAAATGTGAGGTCCTGAAGTTTCTTATAGAGCTCCTGGTCAGTAATTGGGGAGTCCAATGGACTTTGATTGTCTTTTTCTAATCGATTCAACTTCTCATCAATTTAGCATTGTTCTGCGTTTGCATCAATTTGACGGTGTTGTAGAGTGTTTTAAAATGTGTTGTCCATATGTCACGATTTTGTATCTCTAATTTCTCTAGTTTCGATTTTTTTAGGTTTTTCAAATTTTGTCAGAAGTTGTTTGTGTTTATGGACTCCTCAATTAGTGTCAGCTGCTTGCTGTTGTACTGTGCATTTTTTGTTCTGAGTGTGAGTTTTAAAGTCTCACAGTAATTAAGGCGTAATTCACCATTATTTGGATCTCTGTGCTTTTGGTTTGATTGTTTTTTCTTATAATTTTACAATCTGCATCAAACCAGTTTTCATCTGTGGTCTTTTTTGGTATGTTTTTTATCAATTTCAGTTGTGCTTCTTTTGCCTTTTGCCTGTATATACAGTTGAAGTCGGAAGTTTACATATACCATAGGCAAATACATTTAAACTCAGTTTTTCACAATTCCTGACATTTAATTCTAGTAAAAATTCCCTGTCTTAGGTCAGTTAGGATCACCACTTTATTTTAAGAATGTGAAATGTCAGAATAATAGTAGAGAGAATGATTTATTTCAGCTTTAATGTCTTTCATCACATTCACAGTGGGTCAGAAGTTTACATACACTCAATTAGTATTTGGTAGAATTGCCTTTAAATAGTTTAACTTGGGTCAAACGGTTCGGGTAGCCTTCCACAAGCCTCCCACAATAAGTTGGGTGAATTTTAGCCCATTCCTCCTGACAGAGCTGATGTAACTGAGTCAGGATTGTAGGCACTCCTTGCTCGCACAGGCTTTTTCAGTTCTGCCCACACATTTTCTATAGGATTGAGATCAGGGCTTTGTGATGGCCACTCCAATACCTTGACTTTGTTGTCCTTAAGCCATTTTGCCACAACTTTGGAAGCATGCGTGGGGTCATTGTCCATTTGGAAGACCCATTTGCGACCAAGCTTTAACTTCCTGACTGATGTCTTGAGATGTTGCTTCAATATATCCACATCATTTTCCTTCCTCATGATGCCATCTATTTTGTGAAGTGCACCAGTCCCTCCTGCAGCAAAACACCCCCACAGCATGATGCTGCCACCTCCTTGCTTCACAGTTGGGATTGTGTTCTTCGGCTTGCAAGCTCCCCCTTTTTCAGGTGTTTGGAAATTGCTCCCAAGGATGAACCAGACTTGTGGAGGTCTACAAATTTTTTTTTCTGAGGTCTTGGCTGATTTCTTTTGATTTCAAATCAAATCAGAGGCAATTCTATTTGTCACATACACGTGTTTAGCAGATGTTATAGCGGTGTAGTGAAATGCTTGTGCTTCTAGCTCCGACAGTGCATTAATATCTAACAATTTCACAACATATACCCAATACCACCCTCTGGAGAGCCCTGTGGTTGTGGGCGGTGCAGTTGCCATACCAGGGGGTGATACAGCCCGACAGGATGCTCTCAATTGTGCATTTGTAAACGTTTGTGAGGGTTTTAGGTGATAAGCCACATTTCTTCAGCCTCCTGAGGTTGAAGAGGCTCTGTTGCGCCTTCTTCACCACACTGTCTGCGTGGGTGGACCATTTCAGTTTGTCAGTGATGGGTACGTCAAGGAACTTGAAGCTTTCCACCCGTCGATGTGGACAGGGGGGTGCACTCTCTGCTGTTTCCTGAAGTCCCCGATCATCTCCTTTGTTTTGTTGATGTTGAGTGAGAGGTTATTTTCCTGGCACCACATTCCCAGAGCCCTCACCTCCTCCCTGTAGGCGGTCTCGTCATTGTTGGTAATCAAGCCTACTACTGTTGTGTCGTCTGCAAACTTGATGTTTGAGTTGGAGGTGTGCTTGCCCACGCAGTCATGGGTGAACAGCGAGTACAGGAGGGGGCTGAGCACGCACCCTTGTGGGGCCCCAGTGTTGAGGATCAGCGAAGTGGAGATGTTGTTTCCTACATTCACCACCTGGCGGCGGCCCGTCAGGAAGTCCAGGTCCCAGTTGCATAGGGCGGGGTTTAGACCCAGGGCCTCGAGCTTAATGATGAGCTTGGAGGGTACTATGGTGTTGAATGCTGAGCTATAGTCAATGAACAACATTCTTTCATAGGTATTCCTCTTGTCCAGATGGGATAGGGCAGTGTGCAGTGTGATGGCAATTGCATCGTCTGTGGATCTATTGGAGCGGTAAGCAAATTGAAGTGGGTCTAGGGTGACAGGTAAGGTAGAGGTGATATGATCCTTGACTAGTCTCTCAAAGCACTTCATGATGACAGAGGTGAATGCTACAGGGCGATAGTCATTTAGTTCAGTTACCTTTGCTTTCTTGGGTACAGGAACAATGGTGGCCCTCTTGAAGCATGTGGGAACAGCAGACTGGGAAAGTGAGAGATTGAATATGTCCATGAACACACCAGGTAGCTGGTCTGCGCATGCTCTGAGGACGCGGCTAGGGATGCCGTCAGGGCCGGCAGCCTTGCGGGGGTTAACATGCTTAAATGTGTTTATCACGTCGGCCATGGAGAAGGAGAGGCCATAGTGGGCCTCGTCATTGACACATCTTATCTTCAAATCAGGCAAAGAAGGTGTTTAGCTTGTCTGGAAGCGAGACGTCGTGTTGGCGACGTGGCTGGTTTTCTTTTTGTAGTCCGTGATTGTCTGTAGACCCTGCCACATACGTCTCGTGTCTGAGCCGTTGAATTGCGACTCCACTTTGTCTCTATACTGATGTTTTGCCAGTTGAATTGCCTTGCGGAGTGAGTAGCTACACTGTTTGTATTCTGCAATATTCCCAGTCACCTTGCCATGGTTGAATGCGGTGGTTCGCGCTTTCAGATTTGCGCGAATGCTGCCTCTATCCACAATTTCTGGTTAGGGTAGGTTTTAATAGTCACAGTGGGCACAACATCACCTATACACTTCCTGATAAACTCAGTCACTGTTTCAGTGTATATGTCTAAATTATTTTCGGAAGCTACCCGGAACATATCCCAGTCCGCGTGATCAAAACAATCTTGAAGCGTGGATTCCGATTGGTCAGACCAGCGTTGAATAGTCCTTAGCACGGGTACTTCCTGTTTGAGTTTCTGCCTATAGGAAGGGAGAAGCAAAATGGAGTCGTGGTCATATTTGCCGAAAGGAGGGCGAGGGAGGGCCTTATAACCATCCCGGAAGTTTGAATAGCAATGGTCGAGGATTTTAGCAGTTAATATGTTTATAGAACTTCGGCAGCCTAGTCCTCAAATTTGCTTTGTTAATGTCCCCGACTACAATAAATGCAGCCTCTGGATATATGGTTTCCAGTTTGCATAAGGTCCAGTGAAGTTCTTTGAGGGCCGTCGTGGTATCGGCTTGAGGGGGGATATACACGGCCGTGACTATAACCGAAGACAATTCTCTTGGGAGATAATTAGGTCGGCATTTGATTGTGAGATATTCTAGGTCGGGTGAACAGAAGAACTCGAGTTCCTCTATGTTACTACAATTACACCACGAGTCGTTAATCATGAAACACACACCTCCGCCCTTCTGCTTCCCGGAGAGATATTTATTCCTGTCTGCGCGATGAACTGAGAACCCATCTGGCTGGACCGATTCCGACAGAATATCCCAAGAGTGCAGTGTTTCCGTGAAACAGAGTATGTTACAGGCCTTGATGTCGCTCTGGAAATATATCATTGCCCGTAGTTCGTCGACTTTGTTAACTAAAGATTGAACATTAGCGAGTAGAACACTTGGAAGCGGTGGGTGGTGTGCGCGCCTTCTAAGTCGGACTAGCAGGTCGCTCCGAGTGCCTCTCCTCTGCCGGTGATGTTTTGGGTCAGCCGCTGGAATCAGTTCAATTGCCCTGGGGAGAGCAAACAAAGGATCTGCTTCGGGAAAGTCGTATTCCTGGTCATAATGCTGGTGAGTTACCGCCGCTCTGATATCCAATAGTTTTTCCCGGCTGTATGTAATGATGCAAAACACTTTCTGAGCAAATAATGTAAAAAATTATACATAAAAAAACAAAATAGTGCAAAGTTTCCTAAGAGCTAGTCTTCGTCGGTGTCTGATTTTCCCGTGATGTTAAGCAAAGAGGCACTGAGTTTGAAGGTAGGCCTTGAAATACATCCACAGGTACACCTACAATTGACTCAAATGATGTCAATTAGCCTATCAGAAGCTTCTAAAGCCATTACATCATTTTCTGGAATCTCCCAAGCTGTTTAAAGGCACAGTCAACTTAGTGTACAGTGAGGGAAAAAAGTATTTGATCCCCTGCTGATTTTGTACGTTTGCCCACTGACAAATAAATGATCACTCCAGGACCTTAATGTGCTTCTTCTTAAGCCACTCCTTTGTTGCCTTGGCCGTGTGTTTTGGGTCATTGTCATGCTGGAATACCCACCCACGACCCATTTTCAATGCCCTGGCTGAGGGAAGGAGGTTCTCACCCAAGATTTGACGGTACATGGCCCCGTCCATCGTCCCTTTGATGCAGTGAAGTTGTCCTGTCCCATTAGCAGAAAAACACTCCCAAAGCATAATGTTTCCACCTCCATGTTTGACGGTGGGGATGGTGTTCTTGGGGTCATAGGCAGCATTCCTCTTCCTCCAAACACGGCGAGTTGATGCTAAAGAGCTCCATTTTGGTCTCATCTGACCACAACACTTTCACCCAGTTCTCCTCTGAATCATTCAGATGTTTATTGGCAAACTTCAGACGGGCATGTATATGTGCTTTCTTGAGCAGGGGGACCTTGCGGGTGCTGCAGGATTTCAGTCCTTCACGGCGTAGTGTGTTACCAATTGTTTTCTTGGTGACTATGGTCCCAGCTGCCTTGAGATCATTGACAAGATCCTCCCGTGTAGTTCTGGGCTGATTCCTCACCGTTCTCATGATCATTGCAACTCCAAGAGGTAAGATCTTGCATGGAGCCCCAGGCCGAGGGAGATTGACAGTTATTTTGTGTCCATTTGCGAATAATCGCACCAACTGTTGTCACCTTATTACCAAGCTGCTTGGCGATGGTCTTGTAGCCCATTCCAGCCTTGTGTAGGTCTACAATCTTGTCCCTGACATCATTGGAGAGCTCTTTGGTCTTGGCCATGGTGGAGAGTTTGGAATCTGATTGATTGATTGCTTCTGTGGACAGGTGTCTTTTATACAGGTAACAAGCTGAGATTAGGAGCACTCCCTTTAAGAGTGTGCTCCTACTCTCAGCTCGTTAACTGCATAAAAGACACCTGGGAGCCAGAAATCTTTCTGATTGAGAAGGGGTCAAATACTTCTTTCCCTCATTAAAATGCAAATCAATATATAACATTTTTGACATGCGTTTTTCTGGATTTTTGTGTTGTTATTCTGTCTCTCACTGTTCAAATAAACCTACCATTAAAATTATAGACTGATCATTGCTTTGTCAGTGTGCAAACGTACAAAATCAGCAGGGGATCAAATACTTTTTGTATGTATGTAAACTTCTGACCCACTGGAATTGTGATACAGTGAATAATAACTGAAATAATCTGTCTGTAAACAATAGTTGGAAAAATTAGTTGTGTCATGCACAAAGTAGATGTCCAAAAGACTTGCCAAAACTATAGTTTGTTAACAAGACATTTGTGGAGTGGTTGAAAAATGAGTTTTAATGACTCCAACCTAAGTTTATGTAACCTTCCGACTTCAACTGTATTGTTGATGTTTTTTACTGCTAGATTGATGCCTTCTTTACTGTGAGTGGATGTGGTATCCAGAAAGTTATCTAAGAGTTTTTGGATTTTTTGGTTACTGGTTGCTTTCTGGTATTCATCTGTGCTGTTTTGGGCCCATCTGTATGAATTTCTGATTTTGTAAAGCTTACTGGGCTGTGAATGTGTGGTTGTTTCCATGACTGTTCTTTTGAGGAACAAGGTAATTTGGCTGTGATCAGACAGAGGTGTTAATGGCTTGACGGTGAATGAGCTGAGAGAGAAAGGGTCAACGTCTGTAATCATATAGTCTACTGTACTGTGGCCAAGAGGTGAGCAATAGGTGAATCTCCCCAAAGAGTCTCCCCGTATCCTACCATTGACAAAGTACAGACCCAGGCTTCGACAGAGCTGCAACAGATCACTTCCGTTTTTGTTGATGGTGCTGTCACTGTTGTTTCTATGGGGGAGATGAAGACAGTTAGAAACAGTATGGCCTGTAATAAAGCTGTCCCCTCGTGTGGTCGTTAGATCAGGTGGTGTTCCTGTGTGTGTATTTGTGTCCCCACAGATGAGCAAATTTCCTGGGGCCTAGAAATGGCATGTCTCTTCCTCAAGGGTGGGGAATATCTCCTCTGAGTAATATGCAGATTCTGAGGGGGGGATATAAATTATATTGTGCAAAATAACACATATTTTTCTGTCAGTACAAGTTCTTTTTTGTCCAGTTTTAACCAAATTTGATATTTACCAATTTTGAGGGGATCAATTTGATTTTGTAGTTCAGATTTGTACCAAATGATCAATCCCCCAGAGTCTCTGCCGCTATTGATAGATCTGTGTTTCTGTGATAGCACAATTCATATTGAACAAGTAAACTTTTAGTAAAATAGCTGTGTGTGTGTGTGTGTGTGCTCATTTAGTGCAGTTTAGTGCAGATGTATTGGAGGAGCTGTTTAATCTCACTCAATCCTACAGAGTTCTCCTGTCCTCTGAGGGCCTCCGCATAGCTGTGCTGGTCCTGCTGTTGGGCCCTGTGGAGGGGAGGGGGGCCAGGTCTGGGCCGGGGGGCTGCCTCTTTGGTCTGGTAGAGGTGGGGGTCTGGTGTGGGGAAGTAGGCTGGGTCCAGTCCAGTCTGGCTGCGCCGATGAAGGTGGTGATGCTATTGTTGTTGGGTGGGGCCTGTGGGGTGCGCTGGGTCTGGTGGGGCGTTGAGGGGGCCTGGGGCTCCTTGGTGGTGCAGTGGTCTGGTAGGGGTCTCTGGGTGGTCCTCTGTCCAGTACGGCATGGGGTGTTTGTCTGCCAAGTGCCACTTCCTTTAGAGTCTTGGCAAACATCCCTACTGTCTGCTTGCTCAGATGGGAGTGGTCGTGCAGGTGCTCTGGTGTGATTGTTGGGTGCTGAGCAACGTGCAGGTTCATGAATACGCCAATCTCTCTGTTGATGTCAGTATTGCTTTTCTGAATGGTACTGGGATGAAAGTCTTTGCGGGACAGCAGAGTGGAGATGGTGATGTGGGAGTTGGGGAACGACTCAGAGGCCTTCTCTGCTACTCTGTTGACCAGGCTGCCTACTCTCTCCTGCTATCTCCTGCTCCTGAGTGGGTCAGTGGTGGCGGTGTTTGGGGTGGTGAGGGTCTGCAGCTTCTCTCTAGGAGTCTCTCTCTCTCTTCTCTCCCTCCCTCCCTCCCATTCCCCAAGCTATCTGTTCTGTTCCCTGCCAGTGTCAGCTCAGCAGTCTCTGTAATCGGTATGTACAGTGCCTTGCAAAAGTATTCATCCCCCTTGGCATTTTTCCTATTTTGTTGTATTACAACCTGTAATTTAAATGGATTTTTATTTGGATTTCATGTAATGGACATACACAAAATAGTCCAAATTTGTGAAGTGAAATAAAAAAAAATACTTGTTTAAAAAATTCTAAAAAATAAATAACGGAAAAGTGATGCGTGCATATGTATTCATCCCCTTTGCTATGAAGCCCCTAAATAAGATCTGGTGCAACCAATTACCTTCAGAAGTCACAGAATTACTTAAATAAAGTCCACCTGTGTGCAATCTAAGTGTCACATGATCTGTCACATGATCTCAGTATATATACACCTGTTCTGAAAGGCCCCAGAGTCTGCAACGCCACTAAGCAAGGGGCACCACCAAGCAAGCGTTACCATGAAGACCAAGGAGCTCTCCAAACAGGTCAGGGACAAAGTTGTGGAGAAGTACAGATCAGGGTTTTAACATCCCACGGAGCACCATTAAATCCATTATTTAAAAAATTATAGAATATGGCACCACAACAAACCTGCCAAGAAAGGGCTCACGGACCAGGCAAGGAGGGCATTAATCATGAGGCAACAAAGAGACCAAATATAACCCTGAAGGAGCTGCAAAGCTCCATAGCGGATATTGGAGTATCTGTCCATAGGACCACTTTAAACTGTACACACCACAGAGCTGGGCTTTACGGAAGAGTGGCCAGAAAAAAAGCCATTGCTTGAAGAAAAAAATAAGCAAACACTTTTGGTGTTCGCCAAAAGGCATGTGGGAGACTCCCCAAACATATGGAAGAAAGTACTCTGGTCAGATGAGGCTAAAATTGAGCTTTTTGGCCATCAAGGAGAACGCTATGTCTGGGGCAAACCCAACACCTCTCATCACCCCGAGAACACCATCCCCACAGTGAAGCATGGTGGTGGCAGCACCATGCTGTGGGGATGTTTTTCATTGGCAGGACTGGGAAACTGGTTAGAATTGAAGGAAAGATGGATGGCGCTAAATACAGGGAAATTCTTGAGGGAAACCTGTTTCAGTCTTCCAGAGATTTGAGACTGGGACGGAGGTTCACCTTCCAACAGGACAATGACCCTAAGCATACTGCTAAAGCAACACTCGAGTGGTTTAAGGGGAAACATTTAAATGTATTGGAATGGCCTAGTCAATGCCCAGACCTCAATCCAATTGATAATCTGTGGTATGACTTAAAGATTGCTGTACACCAGCGGAACCCATCCAACTTGAAGGAGCTGGAGCAGTTTTGCCTTGAAGAATGGGCAAAAATCCCAGTGGCTAGATGTGCCAAGCTTATAGAGTCATAACCCAAGAGACTTGCAGCTGTAATTGCAAATCAATTTATAACATTTTGGACATGCGTTTTTCTGGATTTTTGTTGTTGTTATTCCGTCTCTCACTGTTCAAATAAACCTACCATTAAAATTATAGACTGATCATTTCTTTGTCAGTGGGCAAACAAACAAAATCAGCAGGGGATCAAATACTTTTTTCCCTCACTGTAGGTAGCTAGTTAGCTAAACAATGAACCGACATAATCCCAACTCATACTACTATCAATACAAACATTGTCACAGCTGTAGTATGAATCTGCAGGTAGCTAAAGCTAACAAACTAGGTTCAATTTTAACTAGCTAACATTAGGCTATAACGAGCAGTGCAAATGGATTTCTGATTTAAATAATATTACTGCACAGATCATACACGTAAGGTTAGCTAGCGAGCCAGCAAGCTAACGTTTGCTAGCTAACTAACAGTACGCTTTAACTTGCAATAAAAACGACTTTCTGACCAAATTTGAAACTTATATCTGAAAATGTAGCTAGACTCTTACCCGTATAGATGGATGAATGCTTCAGGGCAGACTGGAACCATTTAACTCAGTTTTGTTTGTAGCTACATCTTGTTTGGCCAGCATTTTGTCAAGTCACTCCAGTTCGCACTGACCGGTTCACACTGACTGTGGCATGTGCAGAAAGTAGCCCATCACTTTTTCCAACTGATCTGCAGATAGCACCTGCTAAATTCAGGGCATCAATGTTGTTGAGAAAGTAGCAAAATGTTTGTAGTTCTCGATGGCTAACGTTATATCTTTCAAAATGACGTGATAGAAAGGACTGTCAACACATTCTGAACAGCTCACATTGTAGACAGAAACATGCTACATGGCAGACCAATCCAAACTCATCTTCCAGCATGTCCAGCCCATCCATTATCTCAGCCAATCATGGCTAGCGGGAAGGTTCCTGTCTTTTTCCGTGGATAAACCAACTAGGCTCGTAATTTAACAATTTTATTCGTATTTATGGATGGAATACAAGTTTGTTATTAAGGCACATGAAAATTCACATGATCCAGAAGGCATTTCTGCCAATTCTGTTTACGTTCAAATGAAGTAGTGACGTGCGACATACGCCTAGTTTCCTGAAACAAGTCACAACTACATTTACTTTTGATACGTAAGTACATTTAAAACCAAATACTTTTAGACTTTTACTCAAGTAGTATTTTACTTTCACTTGTACTTGAGTCATTTTCTGTTAAGGTATGTTCACTTTTACTCAAGTATGACAATTGGGTACTTTTTCCACCACTGGTATTCAGAAAGTCTCAGAGTAGGATCAGGGCCTGTACTCACAAAGAGTCTCAGAGTAGGAGTGCTGATCTAGAATCAGGTCCTTTTTGATGCTGGGTAGAACCCTTTGCAGGGTTCTATCAATAACCCTCTATGTAGGGTTCTTCAAAGAACCCCCTGTATATGGTTCTACCTAGAATCCTCTATGAAGGTTTCTACCAAGAACCGTTTTATCTTCGGAAAAAACGGTTATTGGTTCCACCAGCCTTATTACCCTATAAAATGTAATTATTTATGACAATACATTACATATATCATAAGACCTTTCTTTGAGGGCTTAGTTATACCTTAACACAGTGGTGTTAGGAATCTCCTAGTTTACAGGCCACATCAGGCCTGCAAGTCACATTACGCTGGTTTGCAAAGTGATTTGTAATTACTATTGGACTCCAGCCAGAGTTAGTATATCCAACAAGTGGAATTGTTAATCACCCGCAACCTGCAATCAGAATGACTGCCAAGGTAGGGAAGACTAAATACTGAGACTACCTCAATCATCTAAACTGGAACAGCCATCTCAGTAACGGGTGCAATAAATCCAATTACTAACAGATTGGATTAGTTTAGAAAACTGTATGTTATTTATCTTTGCGTAGCATAAAATGTATCAACCAATCAATGTAAACACAGAAACACAGAAATGACAGTAAAACAAACAATTCTGAAAATCTCCCTGCAATAGAGCATAATGGGAAATATTATGTATGGTTCTATGTAGAACCCTTCTTGCATTCCAAAGAATCATCAAATAAGCCTTTCTTCCAAAAACGGATCTTAGGATGTTAAAGGTTCTATGTAGAACCCTTTGCCTTTATAAAGAACCCTTGTCTTCCAAAAAGGGTTCTTCTGATCAAAACGGTTCTTGGTAGAACCCTATCCCTCTGTAAAGAACCCTTTTGGAACCCATTTTTCTAAGAGCGTAGATATTCTGCTCTAAGGAAGTGAGTGTTCATCTAACAGTGAGAAGGTTCAAGCTTGCGTACTCAGATATAATAATAATTGACTGGATTCCAGTAGCCCAAAGCACTTTACCTAGGCTGCGTCCCAAAGTGGCACACTATTCCCTATGTAGTGCACTACTTTTGAACAGGGCTCATAGGGGTCTGGTCAAAAGTAGTGCTCTATATAGAGAATATGTGTAGGCCGTCATTGTAAATAAGAATTTGTTCTTAACTGACTTGCCTAGTTAAATAAAGGTTAAAAAATTATTATAATATGGTGTAATTTGGGATGCATAGCTAGTAAGTGGGAAGTCACCTTACCCACCTCCAGATAGCAATATAAAGACCCTGGCCTGAAGGCTATCCCATAGACGTGTCAATAAGCATATCATACTCATAGACCCGCATATACTATAACCATACATCACTGTACATGGATGACTTTGAATACATGCAAAGATCATGTTAGATAGTCAATGTTTCAATGTCAAGGAAAGCTCCTCCGTGGAAATAATTTTAGATCTATTCCCCACCTTTTTCTCACACTAGTTACATCACTGTGAAAAATAATTACTGTTATTCAATTCTAGCACTGACTTTGCTGACATCTTCTTTACTGAGGAAAATGTACTTACTACGACTGTGATATGTGGTTGTCTGCACTAACTGTAAGTCACTCCGGATAAGAGCGTCAAATGTACAATTACCAGGCCTTGGTATTTACACTCTATCTCACTTATCGTCCAGGTCTCTCTGAAATAAACCCATAACATAGTCTATAATTACATAGCCATTGCCAATAAAGGCTTGCCAATAAAGGCTTAAGGCTAACGTCGTGTGAACCCCAACGTTCATGGCCCCATACGTCTTGTGGCATCGCTAGCTCCGCATTAGCATCCTTTGCTAATAAGTAGCCAATTAGCGTAGTGACGGCGGTGGGGTGATTTGCAGCAGTGTAATTTTGCTACAGTGCTAGCCGTTGGACCTGGAGGCTAATGGTTAGCGCTAGTCAGTCATTCGCCGTGGATAGCTTCTGACATGTTAATTACACACGATTAGAGCTTAGTACGACGCTAACATCTGGGCCTCGTGGCGTCGGATCCGTCATGTCGACATAGCGTTTTCCACGTCAGGTGTGATGTCTCTCTTTCCCCTTGTCTTTATGCTCCTGCAGGGTACTGTATGCAGGGAGAGGTTCCTGGGATAAGCTGTAAAGAAAGTGCACTGTTTTGAGGTTGGGATTTTATCCCACAAAATCAATTGATTATCAAGCGGTTTAGTATTGTTTTTTTACGTCTTAAGAAATAATATATGTCTTAAGACGTAAAGAACAATACTAAACCACTTATCATGATTCAAGGTTTCTCCTCATTTCATTTTGTTGCTTGGACCATTGTTGTGACGGATCACCCATCTCCTTTTCTGCTTTCTTAATCTTCCCTCCACCCCCTCTCTCCCTACCTCCCTTTCTTGCATTATTCCATTAATGACCTGGCTCTCCTTACAAACTGTGAGAGGAGATGCTTCTAGTACTTGACTATGTGGGAACACTTTAGGGAACACTTTATTTGAAGGTTACCTACATAAGGACGTCATAACACGTTTATAACCCATACATAACTCATTCATTAACACTATTTACCCCCTTCACTCAGACCCTCCAGTCCTGGACCCAGTCTTTCAGGATGTCCGTTCACCCAACTACCAGTTTGTGACGCTGCGCTGCCTCATTCAGAAGTCCAACCCGGCACGCGTGGCCAGTGTCCGCTGGGTCCGAAACGGCGTGCCCCTGTCCTCCCTGACCACGGACCCCCAGGAGAACCTGCAGCTGAAATTCAAGCTGGACCCCAGCAACAATGGCACATACGAGTGCCACGTCAGCAACGGCGTGGGCACCTCCACCTGCACCTTCAACGTCTCGTGTGAGTACCAGAAGCAGTTGGAGTTCCTGGTAGTGTTGGGGTCAATTCCATATCAATTCAGTCCTTTCAGGATGTACAATTTAGGAATTTCTGTTGACTTACTGAATGGACTGAATTGAAATGGAATTAACCCTGGATCCTGAAAATGGATTAACCTTGTTTCCCGGTTTGATTTCCTACTTGACTGGACTTCTTTGGTATTGACAGGTTGGAAAAAATATTGGATAAGTGGGAGCAGCTACATTGCCATGAAAAAGTATTTTCCCCCTTTCTGATTTTCTCTATTTTTGCATATTTTTGATACTGAATGTTATCAGAGCTTCGATCAAAACCTAATATTAGATAAAGGGAACCTGAGATTACAAATAAAATAAAATAAAGATACTTATTTTATTTATTTAATTAACAAAGTTATGCAACATCAAATTCCCCTGTGTGAAAAAGTAACTGCCCCCTTACACTCTATAACTTCTTGTGCCACCTTTAGCTGCAATGACTGCAACCAAATGCTTCCTGTAGTTGTTGATCAGTCTCTTACATCGCTGTGGAGGAATTTTGGCCCACTCTTGCATGCAGAACTGCTTTAACTCAGCGACATTTGTGGGTTTTCAAGCATGAACTGCTCGTTTCAAGTCCTACCGCAAAATCTCAATTGGGATTAGGTCTGGACTTTGACTAGGCCATTCCAAAACGTCACATTTCTTGCTTTTTAACCATTTTCATGTAGACTTGATTGTGCGTTTTGGATTATTGTCTTGCTGCATGACCCAGCTGCGCTTCAGCTTCAGCTCAGAGAAGGATTGCCTGACATTCTCCTTTAGAATTATCTGATACAGAGCAGAATTCATGGTTCCTTCTATTAAGGCAAGTTGTCCAGGTCCTGAGGCAGAAAAGCATCCCCAAACCATCACACTACCACCACCATGCTTGACCGTTGGTATGAGGTTCTTACTGTTGAATGCAGTGTTTGGTTTTCGCCAGACATAATGGGACCCATATGGTTATGGCTACAAGGTGAAAAGAGAGTATTTACTCTTGTCATAAAATATAGGACTGAAAATGAAGTGCATTAAAAATGTAAAAAACTTTTACTAATGGGCATCTGACCCTCTGACACACAATAGATAAAAGTATCAAACCAACCAACTAACTCTCCCCCTTCCTCTTCTTCTCCTTCCCCTTCTCTCTCCCTCCCCCAACACTGTAGCCCGTCCATACAACGCAGAGTTCTACTTTGATACGCCCAACCCCATCCGAATTCTGAAGGTCAACAACTACTCCTACAACCTCCAGTGGACCCAGAGAGAGCCCGCAGCTACAGACCGCATCATTGGCTACTGGGTCAACGTCCGCACGGTAGATCACACACACACACACACACACACACACACACACACACACACACACACACACACACACACACACACACACACACACACACACACACACACACACACACACATACTGCAGAAGGAGTCCCACACACTGCAGAAAGAGTCCCGCACACTGCTGAAGGAGTCCCACACACCCTGCAGAATGAGTCCCACACACTGCAGAAGGAGTCCCACACAACTGCAGAAGTAGTCCCACACACACTGCAGAAGGAGTCCCACACACACTGCAGAAGGAGTCCCACACACACTGCAGAAGGAGCCCACACACACACTCACTCACTGACCCACTCACTCAGGAGCACTATATTGAGTGTTGTGTGATTGAAATAAGTGAAAGTGGGCCTTCATAATTTGAGCCAGGGGAATAGCTGAGGCTGTGTTGGGAGCGGACAGTGGATCGATGGGAGCTTGTACTGCATTAACAACACTCTCTGAGTAGCCAAGATCCAGTGACACCTCTCTCCACCCTCCTCTCCTCCTAGCTCCATGCCTCTCTTCTCCCCTCTTCCTCTCTATCCTCCCCTCTCCACCCTTCCATGTCCTCTGCTCTCCTCTATTTTCTTTATTTGTCCTCTCCTCTATTATCCTTTCTCCTCCTCTCTGCCTCTTCTCCCCTCATATTCCCCATCTCCACCTCTCCTCTTCTTCCTCTATTCTCCTCTCTCCTTTTCTTTCCTCTCCTCCCCTTCTCACTTCCTTTCCTCTCCACCCTCTCTCATCTCCTCTCCATTCCTCTCATCTCCTCCACCCTCCTCCTCATGCTAATTGAGGACAGATACTCTCTGACAGATACACCCTCTCTTTATAAAGTGGGCAGCCCCACCTCCAGCCCCCCTGTTCCACTCTCCTACTCATCAAAGACAGTTGCAGTGTCACACGGAAAATGACTCTATTGTTGTAACAGAGGGCTGGGCGGTTTCAAATGTGAGAAAGGGGGGTCGTTTTTTTTTTCCGCAGGTTGACGTTTATTTTCATGAGTCTTGCCCTGGAGGCAGAACTGAGTGGCTTCCACTAGATGGGCCAGTTGTAAAGTCAAAATTGACTATGTTCTGTCCTCATTATATGTAGCTGAATATAATTAGACAGGCAGCTAAACACCTCGCCATTATCAAACGTCTGGAGACAGGAATTTCCATTTATTGTCAGGAAAGGTTGAAACTGAGAAAAGGAGACAATCACCAAAATTGTCATGATCCATAAACATTTTTGTAACCTCCAAGAGTATGGTATAACCTTGTTCAGAAGTAACCTCCAACAGTATGGTATAAAGCCTTAACAAAATGACAGCTAATTACAGCTACAACCAAAGTTGCTCAATGTATATTTAACAAAAACTAGCATAGATTTACATAAGAAAACAACATGAAAGTATGTACACTGAACAAAAATATAAACGCAAAATGTAACGTGTTGGTGCCATGTTTCATGAGCTGAAATAAAAAATGTTGTCTGTAATAAACCCTTTTGTGGGGAACAACTCATTCTGATTGGCTGGGCCTGGCTCTCCAGTGGGTTGGCCTGGCTGCCAAGTGTGAAATGCATAGATTAGGGCCTAATGAATTAATTTCAATTGACTGATTTCCTTATATGAACTGTAATTCAGTAAAATCTTTGATATTGTTGCATGTTGCCTTTAAATTTTTTTGCAGTATCGATTCATGTAAACCAACAGTTCCAAGGCTATGCTAGCACATTACATCACAATATAGTACTCTCCAAAATGACAATGAAATGAATCAAAATAATAATCCACCACTTTAGGTAAGTAAATATGGAGTTACACACCAACAATGCTTCAGAAGGCATAAAATGCTGGCAGATTGAAGAAGATTACATCAAATTGTTGCAGACAATAAGTGACAGGAGCTCTGCATTAACACAACAATACTTTCTGATTAGCCAGGTCACATGACAGAGGTCAAGTTAACATTAACTGAGCATATTGCAAACTGCCAGCAGGGGGAGGCAAGCATCTAAAAGGTGAGCATCAATACCCTTGTAACAGAACAGACCATATCGTAAAACTTTCTGAAAACAAACATTGTTTTTTTGGTCTTAATTTAAGGTTAGGATTAAGCATTAAGGTTAGCAGTGTGGTTAGGTTTAGGTTTAAAATAATATTTTATTACTTTATGGCTGTGCCAGCTAGTAACCACTCTGCAGAGCTGCCTCCAGTACATGAGTCATCTTAATAAATGCCAAATCTGCTTTGTTTTCTCTTCTTCCTCTGTCTTGAAGCCTGTGATTAAAAATACCCCCCCCCCCCCCCCCCCACACACATTACATGTGCTATTAAATGTATACCTACATAGTATGCAAGGAAATAAATACAAATAGCTAAGCAAAGACAGTCGTTGAAGAGGACACGACAAAGCCTACTCCCCCTCAGGAGACTGAAAAGATCCTCAAAAATGTCTACAGCTGCACCATCGAGAGCATCCTGACTGGTTGCATCACTGCCCGGTATGGCAACTGCTCGGCCTCCGACCGCAAGGCACTACAGAGGGTAGTGCGTACGGCCCAGTACATCACTGAGGCCAAGCTTCCTGCCATCCAGGACTATACTAGGCGGTGTCAGAGGAAGGCCCTAAAAATTGTCAAAGACTCCAGCCACCCTAGTCATAGACTGTTATCTCTGCTACCACACGACAAGCGGTACCGGAGCGCCAAGTCTAGGTCCAAAAGGCTTCTTAACATCTTCTACCCCCAAGCCATAAGACTCCTGAACAGCTAATCAAATGGCCACCCAGACTATTTGCATTGTCGTCGCCCCCACCCCCTCTTTTACGCTGCCGCTACTCTGTTTATTATCTATGCATAGTCACTTTAACTCTACCTACATGTACATACTACCTCAATTACCTCGAATAACCTGTGCCCCCGCACATCGACTCTGTACCGGTACCCCCTGTATATATTTTTTACTTAACACTTATTTTTCTTAAAACTGCGTTGTTGGTTGTGGGCTTGTGACAAATACAATTTGATTTGATTTGAAATGGGCGAACTGCATAGTTGCATAGCACAAATATGCAGACGTGTCAACCCCGCAATTATAAATTCGACGCAAGTATGCAGCATCGCCAGAGAGAGGGAGAGGGAAAGAGAGGGAAAGAGGAACAGAGCGGGAAAGAGAAGAAGAGAGGGAGAGAGAGAAAGAGAGGGGAAGAAAATAAGTAACTTGATGAATTATACAAGAGCAGCACGATTCCCTCCCAAAAAAGCACACACACAAACACACACACACGGACACACACAGACACACGCACACACACACATACAATTGGGGGTCAGATGGGGGAGAGAGGAAATTGGGGCACTGGATTAGCCAGCTTACCTTTGTGCGGCTGAATATCTAATCGTCAGCTCTTTAAAAGTCATACCTTAAGTAAGCGTTGACTGGGAGACATGGGAATTAGCGTCTCCCTAGCTGGCAGGATACGTTTTGTGAGTGAGTTCGAGCGCTCCTTCTGCTTCTTGGATGTGTATAGTTTGCAGGGTTGTTGATGGGAAATGTGTGTATTTGTGTGTGTGTGTGTGTGTGTGTGGGGGGGTGACTGTGTGTGTAAAGGTTTCTGTGTGTTAGTGTGTGTGTGTTTGTGTGTGTGTAAATACATCCTAGGGCAGTAATGTAGAGCGACTTACAGTAGTGAGTGCATACATTTTCATACTTTTTTCATACTTAATGTTGTATGAACATTGCTTGTGGTTCTTATCTGAAGTTGTAGGAACCTGTGATAGCTGTTGAGGCCAGCAGATACCCAAAGATAGCGTGATAACTGAAAGATGGAATACTCCACGGCCCATTTGGCCAATTGTCTTAGCTAGGACGTTTATCAATGTATAGTACGTTAGGAAGGAGCAAGTTTAAAAGGACAATAGAATACTTATTTCCCTCATTAAAATGCAAATCAATTTATAACATTTTTGACATGCGTTTTTCTGGATTTGTTTGTTGTTATTCTGTCTCTCACTGTTCAAATAAACCTACCATTAAAATTATAGACTGATCATTTCTTTGTCAGTGGGCAAACGTACAAAATCAGCAGGGGATCAAATACTTTTTTCCCTCACTGTAGAACCCTTTTTTATGGTTCTTTATAGAACCTTTATGGAGAATGGTTGAAATATGAACCTTTCTCAATCTTAAAGTTTATTTTGGTTAGCCATATTATATTGAAGTTGAATCAGGCTTAATGGGTTCTTTGAATCATCATGGTTCCACATAAAACCATCACCCTTCCCAAAGAACCCTTGAGGAATGTAGTTGGTGCTGTATATTAACTAATATACAGTACATGGGTTCTAACTTGAACAGTTATTTGTTAGTTTACTATTGTACAATTTATGCTCTTCCCCATATAAAAACAACAAAGACTGCCGGAAAGCCCCGAACACAAGATAATAATTTTGTTGACTCACACAGTGACTTGCATTTTGGCCATTGAACTATATTATGTCCAGCACCAGCAGTTAGCTACCAATAGCTGGCAGACATTTACCTTTGGTTCGTTTTATTTAGATGGAAGACGCAAGCTAAATGCAGTAGCTCTGTAGCTAGCTAACGTTAGCATAGAGGTTGCAAGCTAGCGCTATCACTTCCATGCTCACAGAAGCCCTTGATAATGCTCTGTCTCTGCTGGTGCTCCTGGCTGTTTGAGATGCTTTAGAAGCTACGTTGATGGTAACGACAGTATCTACTTTGAGAAGCAACTTCTTGCTGAAGCCCTCCTTCCATTGTTGATAGCCATGGAAGTTCTCAGGGATAAAATGAGCCCCACAGATTGCTGATTGACAAGTAGATGCCCAATTCACCCGCCTCATTCTCACAAATTTGTCCCAATTTTTACGAAGTTTTTCATTGCGTAGCCATAGATGCATACTCACACCTGCATAACAGGTGTATTTCTACCTGGCGCCGACGAGGATGGCGGCCTTTTGACTAGCTCT